TCCTTTATGTGATATTCCCTCTATTTCTTCAAACCTGATGAAATAAAAGTAATTGAAGACTTTTAAGTTATGTTAAAGGAATCTTTAAAAAAATACCTCTATTCCAAATGAACTATATCTTTGTTTAACAGTCTTAATTAACAGCCTGTTGAGTTAGAGAAGTGGTTTCCAAAATGTGGTTCCTGGACTAGCAGCATTAGCGTCACCTGGGAACTTGTTAGAAATGCAAATTCTTGAGTTCCATTCATGATTTTCTGAGTCAGACACTCTAGGCACAGGTCCCAGAAATCTGCATTTTAAAAAGCCCTCCAGGTGATTCTGATGTTAAGCTCAAATGAGAACCACAAGGTTATGGGATATGAAAACAGGAGTAAATAAATAAATATCACAACCACAACACAAACCATCAGAAGGATGCACCCACAGAAAGAAAAAGTCAATAGTAATCAATAATCTACCCTTTGTCCACTAACCAAACCCAAACCCACTACCGTCAAGTTGATTCCGACTCACAGGGACCCCATAGGGTTTCCAAGGCTGTAAATCTCTACGGAAGCAGACTGCCACATCCTTCTCCCGAGGAGCTGCTGGTGGTTTCGAACCACCGACCTTTTGGTTAGCAGTCAGTCGCTTTAACCACTGCACCACTAGGGCTCCTTTGCCCACTAAAGGGCACTGTAATTGAATTTGGGAAAAAAGATGATCTCAAGGCTCTAATGAATAGCATTTTGATGAAGTCCACTACGGATCAGCTACCTTTAACTGTTTACAAGATTAAAGAAATTATGCATAATGAATTATGACCACCTTATTCATTATTCTGCTCACTCATTTAACAAACATTTATTGAATATTATTATTATATAAGATATTGTACTAACAGCAAAAGCTGTGATAAATGGGTTTTAAAGGAAAAGTATGAGAAATTTCAGAAAGCTTTCTCTAAGAATTTTGTTTGTTACACTGGAACAAATTAACAAGGAAGATCCTAAAAAAAAAGAAAGGATAATCAACTAAGATTCTACATTTGTTACTTATGACAGCAACACAAAAAGCTAGGTGGCTTTTCTTAGTCAGTTATAAGTCAAATTAAATTAATTTCAATGTCTATATGCCTAGGGCAATATTAGTTTTGATCCACTGAAATGAATATATTATGTGTGTGTGTGTTGTCTGCGTGGGTATACACGCACATGCATATACATATATATATATACACATTCATATAAACATACGTATGTTTACATATAAAACACAGACAAACCCTAAGGTTTAAAAATCTCTGAACTAAGGACAGGTGAAGATTAATTATTTTAGAATCTCACCAAATAACTTTTGATCACTGTTGGTAATTTTATTGCATGGTTACCTCCTCTCCTCTCCTCAATATGAGAATTTTTATACGCCCTATGTATCTATATTAGCATCTCTCCAGAAGCAGCACTGTATAGTCAAGAGAGAGCACAGGCCTTGGAGTCACAGAGACCCAAGTTAGAAAACCCTTAACTACTAAATTATCTATGTGTCATGAAACAAGTTATTGACTTCTGCGTGAGCCTTTGTTTTTCATCTATAGAAGAATTTTAATGATACCTTTGCCGTAAGGCAATTGTGAGAATTAAATGAGCTATTATATACAAACAGTTGGTTTAGTACCAATCCAAACGTAAGTGTTTCATAAATGTTAGTTTCTTATTCTTCTCTTTTTAAGAATGGCATCTCTATCCCTCAGTCCATTAATATCCTCAAAGCCTTGATATAATTTCACACTGACAAGGAGAAACGGGATACTACTTACAGCACCTGTGGCTCTAAAGGTCCAGCCTTGGACACATTTCAGTATCTCACAGATTCTTCTGAATATCTGAAAAGTGAAACTGCAGGGCAGTGGGAGAAGCCTGGCGGGGGAGTTAGGAGACTCAGGATCTAGCTTCATTAACGCCAAAAAGTTGCCCGGACTTTACCTCCTTGGACTGGGATAATTTCTTGTGCAAAAATAAAGGTATTAGACAGATAATCCTGAGGGCCTCTTTGGGTCTTTAAAACTCTACGATCATAACTCTTCTGGAAGACACCATTTTGGATCACAAGCAATTGGACTCTTAGAGCTGAGACTATATCTTACTTGATAAGGAATGCTAAGGACAGAAATGTAAGACAAAGAAGAACTAGACGATAGCGAGAAGATCAGCCTAGCTCAAAATACCTCTGCTTCCCTGCCTTCATGGAGTTATGACTAGGTCTCAAACAGGAATGCCTTCTTGTTTACAAATTTATGTGACAGAACTTTTATCTCCTGTAGTATATGTGAGCTCAGTGTTACTCTTTCTGGAATACTTTCTCAGGGAACCATATGGTGGTGAGTAGATGGTCTCTTCCTTCCTTATTGTCTTGTCACTTGTCCGGTCTAGCTAAAGCCAGGCCAATGGCTGGAGGGTCTGACCTACGAGCATAAGAAGGATCAGGGAAGACCTACCTATCTCTCTGTCAACACTGGCACACAGTGAGGTGTAGCAGACATCTTTTAGGTATTTGCCTAGCTTACAACACACTGTCTTAGAAATGTCATCCTTCTCTTTTCTGGAGAGTTAACACCACACGGTTATTTCAGGAGACGCAATAAAAAGTTCAAGGTAACCCCAAACCACAGCCATAGCTGACTGGACCAGCAATAAGTTCTTGATCTAAGCCAAGTCTATCAGTTCCCCAGGTCTGTCATAATAAAGTACCACAAGCTGGGTGGCTTAAAACAACAGAAGTTTATTCTCTCACGGTTCTGGAGCCTACAAGTCCAAATTCAAGGTGTCAGCAGGCCATGTTCTCTCTGAAGACTCCAGAGGAGAATCCTTCCTAATCCCTACTGAGCTTCTGGAGGTTGCTGGCAATCCTGGGCGTTCCTTGGCTTGGATCACTCCAGTCTCCCCTCTGTCTTAACATGGCCTTCTCCCCTGTGTCCAATTTCCTTCTTCTTATAAGAATACCAGAGCCCCTGGGGGGTGCAAACAGTTAACACGCTCAGTGCCAACCAAGAGGCTGGAGGTTCAGAGGTGGCTCAGAAGAAAGGCCTGGCAATCTAACTCCAAAAAATCAGACACTGAAAACCCTATGGAGCACATGGGGTTGCCACGATTAAGAATGGACACAACGGCAACTGGATTTGCTGGTTATAAGGACACTAGTCATTGGATTAGAACCTATCCCAAAGCAGTCAGACCACATCTGAACTTGATTACTTCTGCACAGACCCTATTGCCAAACAACATCCCATTCACAGGTCCTGGGGATTCGGACTTGAACGTATCTTTTTAGGAGACAGAATTCAATCTACGACAGCAAGCTTGGCTGTACAAATTTAGTGACAGAATTTTTATCCTGGATTTTAGGATGAGACACTAGGATAAAGCTGACACTCTTCTCTTTAGGTAGGTGACTCTGAAGACAAGGAAGTGGATAAGTTGTTAAGGCTAGCATCCCACCATGGACTGAAGAATACAGAAATTAAACAGCAGCGGACTGAGGAATGAAGCTGATGCACAGGGAAAAGCAGAGCAACACACTTCCTGAGCTTCCAACAATGTACTCATTTCAGTCTGATTTCACTCCACTCCTAGTCCATGTGCTTTCTTGTTTTTCGCTTAAGTTATGCTGAGTTGGTTCCTGTTATTTATACCCAAAGAGACTTAATATCAAAACTTGGGACAAGTGAGAAACCTAAAACTCATGCATGGTGTATTACCTGTCCATCTTCCAGGTGTAATACCGTCTTCTGCCTCCTTTGATGGAGGCTGATGACATCACAGACCCACTAGGTCGAGTTAGGCTATTAGGTTTCATTATAAGAACCCGCTCTGGTTCCTTAGTGGTGACTGCTAAGAATACTACATGAGGAATTCTGAGGCATTAGCCAAGCTCAGTGAACACAAACACTTTGATCAAGGCGTGTGGACTGACACAGGCATGGGTGGGAAGAAGGAGGGAACATGTAAAACTCGCTCTGAATTTGTCTAATGCTTCTAGTTTCTCCTCGAGTAAGGACAGAATCTGGAAATCTTATAATGAAATATAGCATTTACTGAAATGCATTTGCATCTTGCATTTCATAAATGACATTTCTACTCACTTCCATTTTTACATGGGTTTGGGTACGTTTACCCAATTGAGTTATTACCAAGAAATAATGTATTTCTCCAGGTCCTTGGAGAAACTCAAATCGGTGAAAGCATCAGAGTAGGAGGAAAGTTTGTTTTTATCTCAATTCAGTATAAGAGGCTTTATTTCCACTGAGACTAGCTAGCCCTTGGTTTGTTTCTATCCATATAATCCTCGTATTTCTTCATGGCTGGTTTTCACACAAAACCAGTATTTAACATTTTATATTTACATCCCACTAACCATGAATACAGGGACTAGGATCCTGAGCTGGAGAGAGGGAGAAAAACAAATAAACAAATTCTACTTTGCCCATGAACAGTATTTCAGTTTCTATAGTCATTTGAATCCTACAGCCTAACTGACTGATTTCTAAAGTACTGACTCAGAGGACCATTACTATAGCATCTCAGTTTTTGTCAACGATACAAAATGTTTGCTTTCAAACAGTCATTCTCTTATAACCTAAACAGAAGAATTATTGCCTGGCAAATTATATCTTTTTGTAAAAGTCCCTCACAGTATAACCATATAAATTCACAAAGAATTCAATCAGAATTTGCTAGTACAGCCTTTTTAGTTGTCTGAGACATGTCAGTGAAGAAACTGGTGCTAGATTTACAGGCTGACTTATAATTATGAAAACATTAAAGAAAATAACCTCTTACATTTAAACCATCAATAAAAGGAGGAACAAAGGCAAAAGAACTACATTAGCTCTAATCATTCAAACCAAATTAATAAATAAAGAAATTCAATAAATCAGTGAACATTATAAATCAGAAAGGACTTAATATTATGAACAAAGGGAAAAACCAGAAAGAAAAAGAAAGACAACAGCTTAAACTTACTGGGTTATCTGAGGAATCGTCAGCCAACTGTAAACCAAAATAGTCTCGCTCCGTCAAATCAAGATGCTTGAAGACTATATCCAACAGAACTTGCCCCTGATCATGTTTCTAGAAGAAAAACAAAAATTAAATCGATTGTATGATTTTAATCCGGTCAACTCTGATCCTCTCCTACTAAATCTTCAGTTGTTTCCATACCAATGACTTGCTTGAGAATAAAGACTTCACAAGGTACATAGTACAAATCTAACACATAAACATGGTTGAAATGAAAGATGTTTTATTATATATTTCATTACCCAAAAATAAACCCCCCAAAACCCCAAACAAAATAGAATCTAACCTTAACCAATCTGGTTAAAGGAGTACATAATAAATATTACAATATAAAGAAGGTCTTCGACTGAAAATGTCCTCTGCCTTCTGACTATTATCATGGTATTTTTTGTTACTGCACATTGTTGCCTCATTAGATATAATTCCTTATCATTGTCTTATACTTTATTTATATTTAAATCATGACTGGAAAGGGACATATTTAATTAACTACAATTTAAAATCTGTGTGTATAAATAACGCCATAAAAAGGCAAACAAAAATGGTGAAAATGACTTGTAGCAAATTTGATAAAGGACTAACATTTTAATTATAAAAGTACTCAGAGAACTTTAGCAAAGTATCTCATGTTAACCTCACACTGATTTTTACATGTAAGCATTATTTAACGTCCACCTGTTTTAGTTCAGGAACGTCTGATTCAGCAGACGGCTTGGACTTGCCATCTGCTCACTTTGAAACGCGTGAACCAACCCCTACTCCCAACAAATTCTTCATCACCATCACCTTCACTTGCTGCACGTGCAGCTTTTACATCACTGAAAGGCTTTGAGCCTTTTCTTGCACTAAAGTAAGGTTAAATAAGAAACTACAGACCTGTTCCGAGTCACCTACAAATTCGCCTGAAAGACACAGGGACGGATCGCTGCTTGTAACCATTAACTGTACCTTTCCCAAGATTCCACAGCTACTAAGTTGTGGTACAAAGGACATGACTAGGTAATTCCCTAAAGAAAAAATGTAACTAATAAATAAAAGCAAAGAAAAACTAATCAACATGTTTAGTAATAAAAGAAATAAAAATGTAAAATCACAGTGACATACCACCCGCAAACAACAGTCCAAACCAACCAACCCCAGTGAGTGAAATGAAACACTTATTGCTGCCAGCACTGTGGAGAGCTGTAACTCCTTGGGAAGCAAACCGGGAATACTAGACAAGAACAGTAACAACATCCACTACTTCTGGCATCCCAACCTGAGTAAAAAAAGTCCAGTACTGGGGGAAATAGCTACACACACCAGTATGTTCAATCTTGTGTTATTTACGTAAGAAAAACATTTATATTAGAAAAACACATTAGCAAAACGTCGTATGTTTACACCACTCATTTTCCCTCTAATTGGCTACATCAGGAAGCTTCTAGCTCCAAGTCCGAATCCAAACTCGGAGCTAAGACAATAAAGACGTATTTTATTCATAAAATGGAATGTACAGAGACACAGGAAATTCCAGAGTGGGCCAATTCCGCAGATCACAGACGCAATTAAGAGGTCTTGGCTTCTTTCCATCTCTCATCTACATCCTTAGTGTCGGTTGTATTTGTGGGCCGTTAGCAAGATGGTAAGGAGCCCTGGTGGCACAGTGGTTAAGTGCTTGGCCACCAACCAAAAGGTCAGCGGTTCGAATCACCAGCCGCTCCAGGGGAGAAAGATGTGGCAGTCGGATTTCGTAAAGATTTACAGTCCTGGAAACCCTATGGAGTAGTTCTACTGTGTCCTACAGGGTTGCTATGAGTTGGACTTGAAGGAAGTGGGTTTAGTTTTTTTTTTTTTTTGGTTAGCAAGATGGTCACAGCAATTCGAGGAGTCACACTCCTACACGACAATGTGCGAAAGAAGAACCTTCTCTGTAAGGTTATCTTACAAAGAGTTTCCCTTCATGGCTTCCTGGCCAGACTGGGTCAGAAGGCTATTTGCAAAACGTATCACTGGTAGGAGGTATGTGCTTCCAAAAGCGCTTCTCAGTGGTGCTTCCCATTTAAATCATCTGTGGAAAAAAATTTATAGTAATGCTATCGACCCACCCCCTTCCCATCCTAATTAAAGCGGTGTGGGGTGGGTCCAAGCATCCGTATTTTTAAAATGTGCTAAGGTGAGTCTAATGGCCTTCTCTAGAAAGATGGTGGAGTAGACTCCAGCAAAGTGTTTTTAAATAAAAATCCTAGACATGCTAACATAGGAAAACTCTGAAAGGTGGGAGAAAGGCAAACTGGTTAGGGACCTGGGTATCAGGAATGACATGGCAATGACTTCCCTTGGTTTTCTTTTTATTGAGAGAACATTAACAAAAAATTAAACTTTTAAAGCACACAATTCAGTAGCATTTCGTACATCCACAGTCCTGTGCAATCATCACCTCTATCTAGTTTTAAAATATGTCACTCACACCAAAATGAAATCCTGTATCACTAAGCAGTCACTCCCCACTGCCCCTGCCTTTTGCCCACGGCAAACACTAATCTGCCTTCAGTCTCTGTGGATTTACCTATTCTGGATATTTCCTATAAATGGAATCATATAATACATGAACCTTTAGGTCTGGCTTCTTTCACTAAGTATGATTTTGAGGTTCATCAAAGTTGTACCATGCAAAAGTACTTCGTTCCTTTTTATGGTATTTTCATTGTATGGATATGCAACATTTGTTTATCCACTCATCAGCTGATGAACATTTGGGTAGTTTCTACATCTGTGCTATTGTGAATAGTGCATTTATAAACATTTATGTGCAAGTTCTTGTTTGAATACCAGTTTTCAATTCTCCTGAGCATAAACCTAAGAGTAGAATTGCTGGGTCACATGGTAATTCTAAATGTAACTTTCTAATGAACTGCCAAACATTTTCTCAACCAGTTTACACTCTAACCACAATGTACAAGGGTTTCAGTTTCTCCACAACATCACCAACACTTGATATTTTCAGTTTTCTTGATTAAAACCATCCTAGTAGGTGTGAGTGGTATCTCATTTCTCTTTTACTTTGAAGTGATTTTATTTGGAATAGTGACACAGAAGTAGTGTTTAATATTTTCCCTCATTAATTATTCTTTATATAAAATTCTACTGTGATATATATATGCATATATAATAAAATACGCCACTGTAATCATTTTTAAGTATATAATCCAGCATCATTAACTACATTTCCAGCGATGTGCAATCATCACCACTTCCGAAACCTTTCTATCACCTGAGAACAGAAGCTCTGTACCCATAATGAAACAGCTCCCCGGTCACTCCTTCCCCCAGCCCGCAGTAACCTGTCTGTCGTCTCTGTGAATTTGTCTGTTCTGGTAATGCAATGGTTAGACGCTCAGCTGCTAACCGGAAGGCTGGCGGTTTATACCCACTCAGCCATTCCCAGGAGAAAGACCTGGCAATCTGCTTCCGTAAAGACTACAACCAGGAAAACTCTATGCAGCAGTTCTACTTGTCATGTGGGGTCACTACGAGTTGAAAAAAACTCAACAGCATCCAACGACAATAACAAGTATTTCATAAACAGAGTCACACGATATTTCTCCTTTCGTATCTAGCTTATTTCACTTAGCATAATGTTATGGAGGAGCCCTTGTGGAGTAATGATTAAGCCTGGGCTATTAATGGAAAGGTCGGCGGTTCAAATCCACCAGCTGCTCCGTGGGAGAAAACACCTGGCGATCTGCTCCTGTAGAGATTACAGCCTAGGAAACCCTATAGGGCAGGTCTACTCTGTCACACTGGGTTGATGAGAGCTGGAATCGATACAAAGGCACACAACAACCATATAATGTTATCAGGGTTCATCCATATTGCAGCATGTATCAAAACTTCATTCCTGTTTTTGGTTCAATAATATTCCATCATATGTATAATGGAGTCCTCGTGGCGCAATGGCTAAGAGCTCGGCTGCTAACCAAAAGGACGGCAGTTCAAATCTCCCAGCTGCTCCCTGGAAATTCCACAGGGCAGTTATACTGTATCCTATAGGGTCGCTATGAGTCAGAATTGACTCGATGGCAAGAGGTTTGTTTGTTTGTTTTTTCATGTGTATACTACATTTTGTTACTCATTTACCTGTCCATGGACATGTGGATTATCTCACCCTTTTGGCTATTAAAAATAACGCTATTGGATATACAGTTTCTGAAAATATTCTCCCAGCCAGTAGCCTGTCTTTATACTTTTTTGGTAAAGTCTTTTGATAAACAAAAGTTTTAATTTTTATGAGGTCCTATTTATTTATTTTGAATTTCACTGTTTGTGCTTTTGTTATTATATTAGATAATCCACTGTTAAAAGCTAGGCCTGACAGCAATGCCCCTGCATTTTCTTCTAATAATTTTATGGTTTCAGCTAGCACATTTAGGTCCTTGTAAGTGGTTTACTAAGGAACAGGGTATAACTTGGCATCAGGATTAACAGGCAAAAAAAAAAAAGCAAAATTGATTGCTGTTGAGTCGATTCTAACTCACGGAGAATCCACGTGGTGCAGAGTAGAAGTGTGCCTGATGAAGTTTTCAAGGCTGTTTCCTGTCAGAAATAGATCACCAGGCTTTTCTTCCAAGGCAACTCTGGGTGGGCTCGAACTGCCAACCTTTTGGTTAATAATCGAGCACTTAACCATGTGCACCACCCAGGGACTCCTTTTCCACACTGAATAGACTTTCCAAAAATAGTCCAGCCCGGTCACTAAACAAACAAACAAGCAAGCAAGAACAATGACAAACCATGAGCAGGGGGATCCAAACTTTCTACACTATACATCTAGTTTTCAACCAAAAATTATCAAGCACGCAAAGAAACAGAACAGTATAACCCACAAAACTGGAAATAAAGCATGTAACAGGAAATGCCTCTGAGAGCAACTAGGTATTGGATTAACAGGAAAATACTTCTGTTCTAAATATTAGAAATATGTTCACAGAACTAAAGGAAATCTTAATTAGAGAAGAAAAGGAAGATATGATGATGCTGCATCATATGAAGAATGCCCATGAAGAGGAAGA